ACTATACTTTTGGAAAGCTTTCAATGCAATTTTACGCAAACCATCAAAACGCACAGAACCTTACATTAGAAAAAGAACAAAATCCTGTCTGATAATATGGCGGGGGGCAACCGTTGCTAAGGTAAGACTGGTGAAACTACAGGAGCTTCAAGACAAACTACAGGACAATCGGGAGCTAACGAGTCATATTAGCAACTAACAAGCAACTAAAACATCTTACATATATCCAAAAACGGCTGCTTACCTCATTTATCTTTTCCAAAGTTAATGTACGGAATAACAAGAAGCAAAAGAAGGATTCAACAGAACTGGAGCGGTTTGGTGATGACATGAGCTCATGGAGATAACACTGCAAAAAATGCTCTTTCTCAGTATTTCTGTCTTGTTTTCCAGTACAAATATCCAAACATTCTTAAATCTTTAGGATATATTTACTTCAGAAGCAAAATGACTTATAGTAAGACTTGTTTTTCCATAAAAATGATCACATTTAAGTGAGTTTATGGTAAAAAAATATTTGCTAATGGGGTAAATTAAAACAATAAATAAATAAATCATTTTTAAAATTAAATCTCGCTTCACATTTTTCAGAAAATGAGTGAGTATTTTAAGTAAATGTATCTTGATTTAAGAATATTTAGATATTTGTATCGGGAGCTAACGAGTCATATTAGCAACTAACAAGCAACTAAAACATCTTACATATATCCAAAAAGGGCTGCTTACCTCATTTATCTTTTCCAAAGTTAATGTACGGAATAACAAGAAGCAAAAGAAAGATAAGGGAATATTTTAGTGTAGGTCATCTCAAACCACTATTCAACATGGAGGAGAAAACAGTCAAGACAAGCAACTTTCACATGGAGGAAGGGACGAGGGAGTGAGTGCTGAACTCCACTTCTACCTGAACTCTAAAAACAATCTTTATCCATAATGAATCGAGCCCTCGGGCGGCTCGCAACCCAATGGGTGTCTGGGCTGAAATATTAATTTCACTGAGATGTGAAGGATAAAGCTGTGAGGTTATGGTGAGAGGATGCACAAACAGAGATGCCCACGTCTCGCAGTCACTTTAGACGTTAACAAACAGCTCGCGCGAGTCTGTCTGTCATTGAATCTCGCTTCACATTTTTCAGAAAATGAGTGAGTATTTTAAGTAAATGTATCTTGATTTAAGAATATTTAGATATTTGTACTGGAGAACAAGACAAAATACTTAAGTATTCTTAAATCAAGATACATTTACTTATGCAAAATGACCTAAGATATTAAGTCTTTAATTTATTCTTAAAATAAGTTATTTTGCATCTCAAGCAAATAGATCTTGATTTAAGAATATTTAGATATTTGTATTGGAAAACAAGAGTATATTAAGTCTTACTTTCTGAAAACTATGTGAGTTCTTGCTTAAAACAAGAAAAATATCTGCTAATGGGGTCCAAAAAATAATCATGTTTTCCCTTTGAAGTTTATTTCTCTGTTCCCCTTGATACAATTGTTTTTTCTTGTTTTAAGCATAAACTCGTTAAGGGACTTAATATCGTAAGTCACTTTGCTACTAAGTTAATGTTTTTACATAATTGCACTGGAAAATAA